TCTCTGCTGGATTGTGTTGACATAAATTGAATGAATTTAAGTGAAGACTAAAGACTTTACCTTTAGTCCATTAAAATTTGAAACACCTTGAAACACTCTATGAAATCCAATGTTTAGTCAAAAGGTGTTCTCATTAAATTATTGGTGCGAGCAACTGAGAAACAGTCTATGTTTATCTGTTTGCTTATGACGTTCCCTGTTTTGACTCCTCTTGTAGATGTGTACAAAACAGCTCTTTGGGATAGGATCATCTCTTCTCTGTGTTTGTACAGAACCTAGAATAATTTTTTCATGCGCAGACTTTGTACCAAACAAATAAGTGGGTGCAGTAAAGAAAAGATGGCTTTGTTGATAGATTTAGAGTATGTTTCAATGCACTAAGTGAATCTTGGACACAACTTTTGTTCCTTGGCCTTGCTGTTCATTTCCAAATGTATCAGGACAAACTGCCTTGGATTTGACCCAGCCAGGTACTGAGCATACTGAGGACCTGCAGAACTTTCTCAATTCTGAACACAGGTTTTTTTTACTCTCATAATGAAATTGTTGCGCCTTAGACATTGGCAGCTTGGAGTTCTCTGAAATGGCAAACGCTTTGGAAGAGACACTGCTGTCTGCTTTCGCAACAGTCAGCTCTTTGGAAACATTCCCCTTGAATAATGTTAAAAGTGATTCCAGTTTCTGTAATTTAACTCATCTGTATCATCAGCACCAATAAATGAAACTACTACAGATTCCAAGCTCACCAAGACCTTGCCAAGAGCTGGCATTATACTCTGAGCCAAGTAAGTCACTATAAACAACGACTATGGAGCTCAGCAAGTGGGTACGTTCTCGCAGTGTGTGTGCTTAACTGGCAACTCAGGTGAAGAGCTCTAAAGCCTGCTATTACCTTCTCAGTTATAGCATTCACAATAGCTACTGAAGTTGTGCCGTCCAGTAAAAGCATACGCCTCCTAAAAGGTTACATAGGTATGCTCTACTAAAAAAAACAGAGTATAGGAATTTTAGTTAAGTTTTAAGAGCTGAGAAAGGAAGGTAATGGTTATTGTGTTTTTTCAGCTTCTGTGGGCGTACCATGTTTTGCAGTACTAATGCATACCTTTAGAAGACTCATTTTTCTGTTATTTGTGTATCAGAAAATGTGAGAGAAATGTGAGTGAACTATGAGTGAATTATGGATTTCTCAGGCTTTGCTGCATTTCCATATGAGTCATTTGTGTACGGTGCATTGGCGGGCGTAGAAGGCCATACACTCAGTGTAACCAAATGGAACATTGCCTGGCTCCAACAGCCAAGGACATGATCATAAAAAGAGCTGTGCTTAATTGTAGAAACAGATCTTGGAGCAGGCATGTTATCAGGAGCTCTGACTTCCTCTCCCAGGGTGTTCCAGTGTCTTCAGTGTGTTTCTGCTAGTAGGGGCTGTTGCAGAATATGACACAAAATAAACTACTGTCCTTTTAGTTTCCCATGCAAATTAATAGATACATGGCCTTGTTATAACTTATTAACAGCGTATTTTGTGGGTAATAGCTCCTATTTGTGTTTTTGCTTTCAAGCAAAACTTTAAGACAGATTCTCAGATTCTCTATGCATCTTTTTTCTCACATCTGTAGTGGCACAGTGCTGTCCAATTGTAGTAGAGTATCAACAGTTAATTTGGAATCCTTTGTTCTTTCTTTTTGAGTGTCTTAACTCTTGAATTAACTCTGTGACTTGACTGACATATTGCTGGAAGAATAAGAGTAAAACACAGTGTTGCTTGTCTGCATCTGACAATGTAGATTTCTTGTGAAAAATTGAAGTACTGGATAGCACCCAAATGTAAAATCTTGTGGTGGCTAAAAACTGAAGTGTTCTTAAAATTGGCTTCATCTGATGTGTTACAAGCAGAATTCTCAGCTGTAGGATGAAAAAGCTGAAAATTGTCTCATTTAGACAATAATTTAGGGAGATTGCAACCTCTCAAAGAGTTCATCCTCTTTGATCAGGGCTTGATTATCTTTTCAAATCAGCTTTATATGAGGGTAGTACCACTGGTTTCAACCAGTGATTTACACTGGACCAGCATCTCAATTCTCCTCTCTTTCCTGCTCCTGCAGACAGGTTTTATCTGAGAAGTTTTTAGAGTGGCTCATGCTGAGAGTACCTGCGGTGTGTAATTCACAGGGCCAAGGGATTTTGTGGCAAGGCCCAGCTTTCTCTGAGTACCTGTCACACAGAAGCATTTGGGAACAAGATACCAAACAGGTGATCCCTTGGCTTGTCCCTCCACACAGCCTTTGCAAGCCAGCAGCTATGAGAGGCAGTGTCAACTCCTTACTCCAGACCATTCGCTGCCATTGCTGTGATGCTGCTTTCCCATGTAGGGTTTTGCTTGCTTTCACTTAGGCTGGGACTCCAGAACTATGTGTTTGGGAACGTGGCGCTTAGGATCATAGCAGTTTTTGACTTGAACAAGAGAGGAGCATTTGTTTTTCAGAGTGCATCTCTGCAGCCAACAATGTGATGGCAGCTGTGGGGACTGAGCAGGGTTGCATTGAACTGCCTGGCATGGGTGACGGCAGGGATTCAGGGCCATGCAGAGAGATTTTGCCCACTATAGGACACTCCATTAAAACCTTCAGACTTTTTTTTCTTGACTTTGTGGATTTCTGTGTTGTCACAGCCACAATATGATCTATGCTCACATTAGCTAAAGTATATCTGGGTATGCTCCTGTCCCTGGAAGACCTGCGGTGCCCCAGGCCACATCTCCAACTTGGAGATGTGGACCAGTGAGGTGGATGCTCCCATTGAACAGAACAGCACCCCATAGCTTTGGTTTGTTTGTGGATTACTAAAATTTACACTGTCAAGAAAGCTGAATAAGAATTTTACTGCTGCTTAGATTCAATTTGTTTTATTCTTAAGTATTGCAATGCTGCATTTTGGTAAAGTAGCTCATTTCATGTTACTGTTCTGGGAGGATGGGCTTGTCCTGATGGCAGTTGGTTCCAAGAGCACCTGGACTCCAAAGCCAGGCTTGGTTTGCATTTCCTCAAGCTGTTGAAAAAATCTGAAGATATCCCCCAAAGACTTGAAGATGAGGATATGAGGTTTTCAATTCCAGTTTATTGCTATGAAATTTTATAATTTAAAAAAACAAAAACAAACAAAAAAACAGAGAAAAAGCCACTATATATATATATATATGCTTTTAAGATTATTTTCAAGCTGTGTGTTTAGATTATGGAATTAGATTATGCATCACTTACCTGCATAGTACATCTACAATCCTGCAATTTTGGCTAAGTTACCTCTCACTCTGTGCAACAGGGCTCATCTTGGTATGTTGGTATGCGCATATGGTACATAGACAGTTGGTGAATTCTAAAGGAATGACCTTAAGGACTGACATTCTTCTATATTTTCATGTTTTTGTCATGCTATGGTGGGTTTGTACATTCCTCTTTCATCTCCTCTGAGTAAAAAAATCTCTGCAGTCTTCCAGACAGTGTCTCTCTCTCTCTATCACACCATCTGTTCCCAGATTACAGATTTCTCTGCATGAGTACCAGGTAGCAGACGTGACTTCACCCAATAACTACAGTAAAAAAGGCTTTCACACACTCTCTGCAATCTGTGAACATATGATCAGTCTAGGATAACATGTCGTGCCAAACACACACCAGAGAAATTTATGTGCAGTAGCAGAATGAACCCTGAAATCAGGTACTTGGCAAACACAAACCTGGCATTTCCTCTGCACGTTTCAAAAAGGGACTTCTGTGACTGCAAGGAAATCCTGTGTTCCTGACATGCATCTCTTAAAGGGAAGGTGATGGTGTCACTGCCTTTTGTCAAAGTTTGAACTTTATGCGAGCACAGTGTCTCACTAATGAGTTTGCCAAGTGATGGGAGTCACCAGAACCAAGGCATCTTTTTCTTCTTTTAGCATCTTCACTGGATTCTGCCTATTTTGTGAGTAGGATATAGAGATAGGTATCTGTAAGAGTATCTATAAATACATAATAATAAATATACATCTAAGCCCTTTTAGCCCTTTTCCTGTTTCATATCAGTCCTTAAAGGGCTGCAGTTAGACAGAATATTCAGGATTTTTTTGGATTGGAGGGAGTTACGCTGGGAGCCACTTACACTGATGACCATAGAGCACTTGCCTGAAGCCAGGCAAGAGAGCCTGCTGCTCTCTTATTTCTGTAATGGTTGAAAAGCAAGGAACTGGCTTAAAGTTGAGGGACCATGCATGGGTACCAAAGGCAAATAAAATAACAAATACACACAAAATAACAGTGTTGAGCTATTTTGTGATCTGTGGGCCAAGGTGAGTCTTCATTTCTGCCACAAGGTATGTAGTGCACTATATTCCAACAAATAGATAATGTTTTTACTTTTGGACAAGTGATTATTTGTGTTAAATATCTTGTGTAAGTCTTATGTTCTCCAGTGATTTCTATGTAAATGAGAAGAAAGTCTTAAATTAATACCCAAGAGAAAGTATTACAGAGATAGTAATGTACTATAAACTTCTAACTTTTTAGATGCCTTTTATACTTTTATTTGCTGCCATTGGGATTTCTGATGAGAAAAGGGGTTGGTTACCTGCTACACAGCACTACAAGAAAAGTAATTTGAGATTTTTTCAGAGAAGTGGGAGAACTCAGAGCATTGTGTTTGTATGTGCACTGATAACTTTAGTATACGACAAAGGAAGTAATGTTCAGGGAGTCAATGTTTTATTACATATTTCAGAGTGTAGGTAACTTTTATCACCATATGATATGTGCATAAGTTAATAGCAAACTCACAGTTAGAATCTGACCTTGGCATGATGTTTTTTTTGAGAGACATTCACCACATTGAAACAGTTCCTCTTGAGATCTTGTCCTATTTACTGAGCAGTCGTGTTCCATAAACCCTGACAGCTTCTGTGGGATCCTGAGCAAGACTGCATCATGCAGGACAGTAGTAGATGTGGATTAAGGTAACTGGGTGGTCAGAATGACCTCGTGTCTCCTCATGCTGTTACTAATTTGAGTTGGTCAGAACAGCTTGAGCTTCATCGAGAGGGTGCAGAGGGGATTTCTGAGATCTGTGTGCAGGGCTGCACCAACAACAAGCTGATGTGGTGGGCGAGCAATAAGGCTGAGCCTTAGTGGCTCATGGGACAGCCCTTGTTCTCATTGGGGAGCACCACATAGTTGTTTCCTCCACCTCGCTCTCTCAAAAACCAGGATCGTTTTCCCAGAGAGTTCAGCATCAATTTTTCTTGAACCCAGGGGAAAAATGCAAGATGTAGAAAGCTGGACAGGAAAACTTCTGGCTTATAGTGAAGGTAATTCACTTGTGCAGTCACAGCAGCAGACAGTCACTAAGCACACAGACATGCTCCAACGTTTGAGTGCAAAATGTAATTATGATCGGTATAAATGAAGAGATTTTGACTGTAAACAATTTATTCATTGCTATTCTTTCCTGACTGATTAGTTCCTAATTTGGAACAAATCTCCATTTACCCAAGGCCCCCAGCACTCCTCTGCTTCTGGAGAAAACAGAAAGAAAACCATTTCAGGTCTGGATTGGTAGTATCCTTTGTTAGAGAAATGGCTTTGTTCTGGAAATCAAAATGATGTAGGTGTGATTACCTCTGTGTGTGGAGATTTGTCTTCAGCATTAGGCAGATGGTGTTCAAATAAATGTTGACTCAGGCTTCTGCATTTTTCTCACAAATTTCTCACATCTTTATTCTTCAGTTTGTGCAACTGCTTCTGCAGCTTGGAACCAAACTTCATTTTAATGCTCTTTTTTTTGTGTGTTTCTGTCACTGCTTCATCCACATCTTTCAGCTTTAATGTCACAATAGTATGTGGATCAGTTACACTGATTTAAAAAAAAAAGAGAATTAATATAAAGGCCAGACACCTTCATTAAGCAAAGTAGGGAGAATAATATATATAATTCTGCTTATCATATACTCTAGTTACTCTAATATAATATATTAACCAACTAATTATTTTAAAATATTATTAATTGCCTTGAAATTGTTAGCTACTACTGTTAATAGCCGATTAGAGCTACTTACTTTTGAAAGTTACTTCCTGATAATGATCAAATTTTGGACAATCACACAATACTTATCCACGTTTGCTGTCTTTCTGTTTATTCCATTTCATAATCTGTAATTCATTTTCTCCCCCTCCATAAAAGAGAAGGGCAGATAGAGGAATGCACATTCTATGAAAGATGTTTATATTGGATGAAATTGGAGCAAAAAACATTTTTCTCCTTTTTGATACTTTGAGCGTGCAAATATTCTCAGTAATGTTTATTTGCAATAGGCTGTAAGCCTATCTGCTCATTGCTCTGAGCATCACTCTTTGCATTGTGCCTGTATTCCACTGCCAGGGAGTATGACTGATACAGCACAACATCTGAGTTATTCCTGTAGTTTGTTTTTCCATCTACTGTTCGCGTTCTCATAGCAGTAATTACAGTTACCACATATCTGTTTGTTAAGCTCCTGTTCTGCAAACTGTTCTCCTGGTTTAATTTTACTCCTTTTACTTAAACTTCTGCATTTTCTTTTACTATTGTAAATTAACATATAGGTCATTGAATGGCTGGAATGAGATGGGGGCTAGAAAAACCTTTTCTCTCTTTGGCAATAGAGAAGAGCATGCATAGTAATCCCCAATTGTGACCAAATGCTCTTTTGACTATGCTGTGTAGATTACCTTGTCAAGGCTCCGTGTTTACAGAGCACTGTGGAAAATGAATGAACGACAGCAGAAATACAGATTGTTTGGTCATTATCGCCCTTGCTGTTGTGCTTGTTTTGAGCAGCAGGATGTAACCTCTGCCTGAAAAAAAGAACGTGGGAAATCCAGCATTATCCCAGTCCTGCATGTGACAGACTGTGATCCTTGTTTAGCCTGTCCTCTCTGTAATTAATCTGGTTGAGATCCCCTCAAATCCTACGGAACTTAGAGCTTACTGCACTTCTAACCCTCGCTGGGCCGCTTGGAGCACTCTACTTTTCATTTCCAGTGGTAGTCACTCTCTCTCACAGCAAGCTGTCTCAGAGGTCCTATGTCTGGCAGATTCCTAGGGAGCAAATCAGATTTAGCAGAAACCCATAAGCAGATCCATAGCCCTATCTTGTCTTGACTGATATGGGAGGCTGGAACTTAATGATCCTTGAGGTCCCTCCAACTCAAGCCATTGTGTTTCCACTTACAGTTAGGCTGGTTATGACCCATTAATAGTTGTCTCATTATGTTCACTAAAATTAAAATGAAATTTTGAATTAAAACTGTTCCTACTATTACTGAGTGGGATATAAACCATTCCTTGCTAATTTTTGAAGAGGTTCATAAGGAAGTGGGTGAGCTAGCTGCTATACTTGCATTTATAGCAGATTTTTGATGAAATCCTGTGTTTAGGGCTTCTCTTTCTTGTTCTTGGATACTATATCTCATATACTACTAGTATATACTAGTATCTGCTGACCAACCAACAAATGATCATCTGATCCAACTGACTGAGCTCCCCCCCCCCAGTGAAAATATGTTTAAAAAAAACAACAAAAAAAAAAACCCTCACCCAATTGAAGAAAAAAGTCTCCTAAAATAATTGAATAATACCAAAAGGAAGAAAAGCTGTGTGACTCATCAAGTTCCAGCTGGAAACTCTCTGTCCTGAGGGAAAACAAGTCTGCCTTCATACAAAATACAATATTAGAGGAGGTGTTCTTTAAGAAGAGACAGAGGGAACTTCTATTAGGTTTTGACTGCCAGTGACATGTTAGGAAAATTACAGACTACTGAGAATTTTTATTTTAAAAAAAATTTGCTACTTGAGACATCATAATTTTTTGGCTAGTATAGGATTTTTTTTAGCTTTTAGGATCAGAAGAGATGACTGTAATCATCTGCTCTAACCCTATGAATAAAATGAGCTGTAGCAATTCACAAAATTCTTCAAGCCACAAGCTGGAGTGTGGGTTTTGGAGAAGTGCCCAGTCTTGAAAAGCAGAGTATCTCAAAAACAAAAATAAAGTAACAGAATAAGATGTCTTGACAATATTTGACATCTGTATTTTAAGTGCCAAGGAAAGGCTAAGAGATCTTTACAAGGCCTAATCTATTGTTCTTATGTTTGTTTGTTCATATAATTGTTCAAAAGAGCGGTGACTTTGCTTGGCAGCATTTAAAGAAAAGTGCAGGAAACATGATAACCACCTTCAAGAGATTTTTTTCCCCTGTGTAATATTACCTGAAGTAGTTGCCTCGGCCCTGACTTTTACCCCTTCTCTGAGATGTGCTCATTTCCTTTTCTTAACTTCAGGGACCCACAGGAGAATTTACATCAGGCACTGCATTGCAAGCTTTAAAGAAATTGTAGTGAAAGTTGAAACTCCTGCATGCTTCATATTTAGTTTAATTTGGAAGTCAAGAATGCATTTACCAAACTTAAACATGTTGTTAAGGAAACCTAAATAGCATAGAGTTCCTATGGAATTGTAACAGAGGCTTACATGGAGATATGACTGAGGCTGGCACCATAATTTTATGGGAGTTCTGAAATGGCTGAAGGGGTAAAGCTGTAAAAACAAATAGCAAACAACTCCTTCCACCTATGCCCAAATTCCCATGTGAGCAGAAGCACCACTAACTGCAGTGTTGTCTGTCTTTTGGTGGTATGCATTTGCCTATTCTGTTGTTGTTGTTGTCTTTTTTTTTTCCCATAGAAAGTTTAATGTGGTTAAAGAGTTAGTCTGCTTTATGAGAATAAGTTGGGCCTGTAGCTGTTATGCTGCTTCACAGGAAAAATGTCTGTGTATTATGAAGAGTAGCCATCTTAAACTTATTTCCTGCATATTTCTGAGTGATAGGTAATGATTTTTATAGTGTGTGACTCCATAATGGTCTGTCCCCTGTTTTGTAAGCTTCCAAACTTTAGTATGACATTTAAGGTTTGTTTTTCTCTTTCCTTTCTCTAATGCAGGCCTCTCCAACTCGGCCTGTGACATGTGCCAGGAAACAGGTGTATTCAGTATGCTAACAAAACCACATTTCAAAGAAAGAAAATCCACATTCCGCAAACTATTTGCTTTCAACAAAAGCAGTGGTATATTACAGATATGGGATTGTGGAGACCAGAAAACATTTTTGTTCAGTTCCCATTGAGCTCCTGTCTACAGGTATGCAGCTTTATTGCAAGTCCTGGGGTTATATAGCTGATTTTCTTTGCTTTTTGCACATAGGATAGCCCACTCAACATCGTTTCTACTCTTAAATACTTAAATGATTAATGATTCTGACCATTGTATCTTTACTTTTCTGAGATGACTTACTCTTGATTTGCATTAAAGTCAGTGGGACTTATTTTAAGGAACACTGATTCCTTTTAGAAAATATCATCAATGTGCCCAACATTTCAGTTAATGAAACCCAGATTTCTATATGGTGCCTGTAGTTGATCATAGCCTTTCTTTATAAGCTGTACAGTGTTCTTTGGACCAAAATGAGAATAAATAGCACTTTAAAAGCAGACAGCATCACTTTGCATGCTTGAAAAGTACATGTAGCTGGAGAGTAACTGGAGAAAGACTGACCACCAGGCCTTCCACAGATCTGATCTACCTTAAAGAATTTCCAGTGTTTGTGATTTCTCTGCAAGACCTCCCTGATGAGCATGTTTGTGTGGTTTGCAAAGCCTAGGTGGTATCCTTGTACATGTAATTGCCTTGCTTTCCATGCACGGCAGAGACACGTAGGACGAGTGGCTAGACTGTAACTGTCATGATCAACAACAACTCCATTGAAAAAGGGAGATCCACCCCTTCCACATTTATTTGTAGTATAAAAGGGAGAATGGTGGCAGTGGTAGAAGGTGGGTTATGTATTTCCTTCATTTTTAACTCAGCATTTTAAGTTTTCTGAAGGGCTCTGTGGGTTACAGCAGAACTGGTATTTTTAGTATATTACAGATATCAGGCAAGATAATCCTGATATAAAGTAAAAGAAGTGATTTCTAGACTTCACAGTGTGAGTTTGATATTCATCTGCACTGAGGCAAGAGTCCCTTCAGTACGTTGATCTTGTCTAGGTAGAAAGACATCTCTGCTTTTGATGTCTTGTCTCACAACTCATTTAGTTGAACCATTAGAGGAAAAGAATTGTTTGTTTTAAGAATTTAGCATTTGCCATCCTTTAATTAAGAACTGACAGATCTCCCACCTGCACATTCCAAAGTCGCTCTAAAAGTCTTGTTTTGCTTTGAATTTCAGGAAAGAAATGAGGGAATAAAACGAAAGTTCTATATGCTATGCGTTTATAAACATCTGCACATGAATACATAGGTCCTTCAGGCCACCAAAAGTTAAGGAGAACTTTCCTGAAGAAGTGAAACAGCTTTGTTTGCTATCTGTTATGGCCAGCTGTGAAAATGTTCCTAGGCATGACCCTATTTCTATCATTCTCATGTATAATCACAGTCAAGTCAGTAAAAAGTTCATGTAGAGAAGCAGTCATTTTTGTGAGTCAGGATTCAGGAACTGAATGCTGTGTTTTTGCAGTGGGCTCCTGATTTGCTTGATAAGAACTGTTAGAGCTTGCTGCATACACTGTCCATCAAAATGCCATTATGCAGCTGAAGCTGAGTATTGAAGTTGGTTATATGTATTGTCACTTCATCCCATGGCAGCTGTTGCTGTACTGAGAGGCTGAAAAGCCTGTCATAAGGATGAAAACTAAACCTCTGCACAGGCTGCACCTAAAAATATGATGTACTACCTGTACAACCTACCAAAGGTTTACCCTCTTCTCTTGACACTTAAGATTGCCTAAGTTTATTTGCAAAGTGTGCAATTTGTTCTATAAAATGCTATTCTATCAGGCTTTCATTATGTTACCAGGCATATAATGACAAATGATCTCCTTGGTATCTAGTGCGTTATTATGAATGTTTTTATCAGCGAACAAAGCAAATAGGTTTCAAGTTAGCATCAAAGATACATGATTTTGAAATACCAAACAGTTTTCTCATGGTCCTGCTGATTCAATAGATTACCCATGGAAAGATTAATACAGGTATGATGTGACATCTTCTCTCTGACCACTACTAAAGTACAGTACTTCATACTGCTATCCTGCACCCATTTGTCAACTATATCTAATTGATTAGTCTACTGTAACATTTTTATTCGCCACATGAAGTTCCCTCCTCAGCAATCTCTACCTCCTAAAATGTACATTAATCATTAATTACAAAATCAATGAGAGAGATGGTCTGAACATATGCAATTGATCGCTTCCCTCTTCAGATTAGCATAACCTACCAATTCATTATGTGCAGTGAATGATATAGCTACTACTGTGAAATAGGGCAGGTCAATTGCTGTAAATTCCTTAACAAAATGTTGTGTCATGTGTCTTTTCATTCACCAAGTGTTTACTGTGTGCTTGGAGGGATCCATCTTCTTTTCTGACGTCTCCTAGCTTACAGCAAAGAAATGATCAGAAATGTAGACAGCGAAGCACTCGGATGTTGAAAGACAGAGGTCCTTCTGGAAGCTTCGCTGATTAAACTGTGAGCTGCATATTGCTGAGACTGCAGCTATGAGTCAGACATTTAAGATAGGATCAAAAGTGTTGATTCAATGTTTCTTGCATGAGAAAGATTATGGGAATTTAGGCCTTGGTGTGCATACTTTCTTGTATTTTTGCATATTTAAACAGTGAAATTTCCCATATATTTTTTCATTCTATGCTGTGCTAAGATTAGGATCTTCCCTATCTCTTTTCTCAAGGAAACAAGCTTTTCAAGTGTGCTTTCCAAAATAACTTCAGTAGTCTTTCAGTAGCTACCTCTTACTGCTTAATAACCAGATTAGTTATGAAGGAGAGAGAACACTGCCTGTCAGTCAGCAAAAGGAGCTGATGTTAAACAAGTTTTCCTTTTGTATGTTAAAGGAAGGATGACTTCTCCTTTTTTTTTTCTTTTTTCTCAATACCGTTGTCTATTTAGTACCTTATTCCAGGAGTCTCACTGAAATTAATTGGACACATAGGGGAATAGAAAAGTGGACAACAGGAATAAGGTTTACACTGGTCAGCCTAAAAAATCTGAATTATACTGAATGAAATATAATCACAAACTTCACATACTTATAACAGGAATCACTGTCATGAAAGATGACTTAGCTGTTTGAAAATGCATGCTTACAATTTCCATAAACATTAGTAGAGATTTTATTGGATTTTTAGAAGAAGTAAAATAAATAAAAATCATTCCCAATTAATTCACTTCAAGAAGGCTATTTACTTCAGCAGGATTTGGGCCAGGCCCCAAGTGATTCAACTGACTTTGTTCTAGTATTTCTAAAAACATGTCCTGTAACTTTTAAAGTGGGGTTATGAAAATGAAGGTACGACTACAACTGAAAATATGGTATTTAAAATATTTAATTTATAATATCTTTTTTTAAAAATCTATAAGAAATAAAGTAGGAAGGATATCTTAAACAGGAATCATACTAATTTTTACAACAAAAGTCAAGCTACTCTATGAAAGAAAGAATAATCATAATCTTATTTGTTGTCAGTTAGGCATAGGACAAGGGGAAACTGATTTAAACTAAAAAAAGGGGAGATTTAGATCAGATGTTAGAAGAAATTCTATTCAGAGTGTGGTGAGGCACTGGCATTGCTGCCCAGAGAGCTGTACATCCCTGGAGGTGTTCAAGGCCAGGTTGGATGGAGTCCTGGGCAGCCTGAGGTGGAGGGAGGCAAACAGTCCATTGCAGGGTGTTGGAATTAGAAGATATTTGAGGTCCCTTCCAACCCAAGCCATTCTATGAAATTGCAGTAAAATTACCTGCATGCTAGAGGTCCGCAGAATACAGATATGTACCTGAAAGCAAATATCTCTTATTTTGTATGTTGAGAAATTTGTTGCCTGATTTTAATAGCAATACTGAATTGCTCTTTGAGCTAATGCTGCAGTACTCCAATGTCATTACCAATATGTTTTATTTTTTTACACCTAGGTAAAGAAAATCACTGCAGCCTCTTGCTCTTCATATGTACGTTCTAAGTCAGATATTTCTTTCCAGAAAACCTCGTGAAAGGATTCATTGGTAAAGATCCAATTGCAAAATCTTAGTCTAAAGTAGTGGTGGTTTCTTTCAACACAGAAAATAAGTGCAAAGTGCATGTAAGCGTTAAGTCTGTACTGGTAGTGCTACCTCCCTGTCATATATTTTCACTTGTCAAATATTACTTTTTTCAGCATTACTTTTCACTTTCTATATTATGAGGTTTATCTATGTTTGTTATCTCTTCAGTAATCTGACAGATTTTATTTTCTGGTAGCCAAAATTTCATGGTATCTCTGCAATCTTTGCTAAAACCCCTTTGTTTCACCCTAATTTTACCAGTCTTATAGTGTGTTCATCAAATATTAGTAGCTATCTATCACATCTTTTCTGACTTAGCCAAACTTTATATACAACTCTTTCATTACCACACATGGAAAAAGGAAAGACAGATGAACCATATCTGATTATTTCTTCATGAATAAGGTTTTCTTAGTTAAACAGAGAACCTTTTTATGTGGGGGGAAAAAAAAACCACCAAAAAACATGCAGATTGTTGGCCCGTGTAACTATGAAGTTTTCGAAAAGTTCATTATTGACTGACTTGTCTGTGTTGTAGTGTTGTTGCATTTTATTATGCACATATGTAGTTGGGAGCCTTGGAAAAATGCAGATTAATGAGCCATTCTGATAAATATTTGCAAACAGCTTTAAACTGAGATGGTTGCTCTGGTTGCATAGCCACTCATTCTTTTTATTTCAAAAAAGAAAATTCCACTGGAGTGGATCTCTATTTGAAAGTTGTCTTTTTTTTTTTCTTCTTTTTTTAAGGTTATAATTATCCTAGTAAGGTGCTAACAGTACTTCGGAGTCATTTTAGTGCTATACATTGTGTGTTCCTAGGCTTTCAAATCTTTTGTTTTTAAATTAAAAGCTTAAAAAATATGTATAGCAATTAAAAATTTAACACATTTTAGTCCTGTATCTTGTTTTCTGAGTTTCAGTCTGGAGCAAAATTTTTGAAGTTATAAACCTTTGAAAATAGGGTTTTACACCACTTTAGCTATAGTGATGCTAGCAAAGCAGTATAGTATACACCAGAAATAGAAAACAAGATTAGAGATGACATTTAGGACATGAGGAAAAATAACTGTGTTCTGTTCCTTTCCATAGCCTGAAAAAGACCTTCTGGTCTGAATATCATCCCTAATCCTATTTTCTATTCCTATCATGTATTCAATTAACCTATTTTTAAATTATTATTGACACCAATTAGTCACATTTTCAAGTACCAAATCAAATTGTGTGCTCCCCAGCTACTGTCACGGTGGTGGGGAAAGGGACACTGAGACTGGTCACTTTGTAATATTTCTGTATGAAAGACTTAGTCCTGAAGCTTGCTGGATCCTATCCCTACCAGCTGCAATGATAAATCCATTATAGGAAGTCTTTTACTTGCGCCAGAACAAGGAGCTACAGGGTTGTGCTGATATGCAAACCATTTTTTCTAATGGCAAACTAAATGTTCACAATTAAATAGAATTATCCTGGAACCTCTGGAAGCCATAACTGGGATATTCTATTACTCACGAGCAATGATTTTCACAACTACTTCTGGAATAAGTTGTACCTTCCCTCACAGTTTAACCTCCAGCCAGGGATTTTTAACTGAGTCCTTGAATACTATGAAGTAAAAATGTCACTGAACACTAAGAAATCATTTTTCTTAGTCTCTGTGGCCTTCACCACAATTCCTTGGTGTTAACATTATTGGAAAGGGCTCCCCACCATTGTGCTACCCCATTTGTGTTTGAGTTTGAGACCTGGTTTACCACTGTTGTGAAGAAAAGGTAACACCTAAATTGAGATTAGTGTGTCTAGCTAACCACTTACTGTACTCTTGCACTAGCTGAGAAACTCTTCAGACTTCATAGTACCACTCTAGCAGAGCCAGCTTCCTTCTGCTGGAAAGTGGGGGGTGTCCCTCATACTTAACGCTGTTGCTCTGAAGAAACACAGGAATCCTGGGTGCCTGCAGCACAACTGTGAGGCCATTGACATGTGCGTGTCTTGTAATGAGGAGACAGGAGTTGATGTGAAGCACGCAACTCTGCCAAGGCCTTGGTGGAAAGCAGACATTCACATACAAAGAGACTCAGTGTTTCCTCATAGAAGTAACTAAGCTCTCAAAGTTTTATAGTCCTCAGTGTTTAACTCTACTTCTTTCCTTAGTCAGCTTCCAACATGAAACTATTTCTGTTCCCCATTTCTTGCACTGCATCATGCGCATTTGATGTCTACAGTGGTGCTACAGTATTGCTTTGCTAGGATCTTGCAAGCTCCAGTCAATGTGGAGTACAAAAGGGACAATAAATAAATTATTATTGAGGAACAAATGCAACTGCAATTACTTCTTGTACCCACCAGGATAATATCAATAGGAAATAAATATCCTTGGGAAGATCCGACAGAATAAATCTATCCTGTCTATATGACTGGATGGATAAGGTAGAAAGTAGTACTATACTTGAACTGCATTTTCAGTACTTATCAATTCTTACTGCTGTAATAATAGTAGACAAAGCTGCAGGGAGCTACTGCCCGTTATCCAAGAAACATAGACTTTCAAAGTCAGCAATGGAGGCGAATTAATTGCTGAAGCAACTGCTTGTGGAAGATGCTTTGTTCCAGTGTTGTGAAAGCTGATATTAACGTAGAGATAAGTGTAGCCTAGTCTGTTCCATAGATTATAATAATGTATATTTTGTTTGTATAAACAGTGTCTTCTTGGCAGATCTTCTTCTGCAGCCAACAGATTTAGCTACTAAATGGTCATGGAAATATGATTTGAATTGCTCTCCATACTGCTGGTAAGTGGCCAGGAAAACAATTCATATCTACTATAATCAATGATTTAGTTTCTGTGGAAAAGAAATAGGAAAACTTGTTGATTTGTGTAGATGTTTTGGATTTTAATGTTCAGAAAAATAGATGAATAACAGTTACTCTCTAATGATACATTTTAAAGCCTATTCTGAATTTCATAGAAAACCTGGAATATGAATGATTTGATAAATTTTCATGCTTATTTTTCAATGGGATTTTGACTTCATTATGTGCACAAGACCTTATTCAACTTCACTGTGCTGTTTATAGATATAGGAAAATGTCTTTAATTCTTAGGAAATACAAATGCTCTTTTCAAAATGTTTTTTCTAGTGGCTACATTTCTCGCTGAACAGTACTTTCTGCACAAGCCAAATGCATGATATAGTCATTTGAAAAAAGTAGCATGATATTTTGAAATTGCTTTAGTTACTGAAGCTGCTGTGACAGGCTGGTAACCACAGTACTTGTTCATGGGCAACAACTGGGAGACAGAATGTTCTTCCAAAAACATGCTCTTGGTCATACAGAGTTGCAAACGTGAGATGTGAAGAATGGTTGGAACAAAGGTCTATGTTGGGAAAGCAGAACCCTCTTCTTCAGGATTTAACTGTGCTGCACATGGAGTGCTAAATTATTGCAGGAGACATGCTGAACTCACCTGACACATTAGAACACTACATCACACCAATCATCATATTTAATTTGTGATGGTCTCCAGGCACACTCCTGACCTGCAGGGCCAGAACAAGAGTTTTTGAGAAAATATTTTCTAGGCACAGAAGCCAAAAGGAACTCTGTTAAAACAGTTCAAGGCAGCGAGAGGGCAATTCATGGTAATTTCATTGGATTCAGGCACAGTGTGATCCAGCGTTACTCTGGTTCAAATGCTTACATGAGTTTCTATAACAAAGAACAGCTTAAGTAAAATAGATTTTTTTAAATTTTATTATGACTTTAATGAAAGTGCACAGGTAATTCTATCCCAGCTAACTTGAGATGATCACTGTTGCGTATTGTTGGACACATCAGAGGAATGCAAAGCAAAAATTACGGCTGCTGGGCATAGATCTGCAGCTTTCAAGATTGCACCAACCATCCAAGTCCTTCATCTTCTCAGAACCAGAGAAATCTTGTCTATGTGCTCCAGCACAAGCAAATAACCTTGGAAATGCTGTAGCAGTGGGTCACGTTAAATCAGTGCTAGGCTTTTTTGCTTTCTTGCTCTTCTGCTGTTCTATATTGTCAGAGGCAGCAGGAAATTAACTGCAATGACAACGTACTAGGGAAAAGACATAGCAAAGTTTGCCTCATTTCAGCAATAGCTCTGATTTTCCAACAAACTTAAATTTGAAATTCACTGGTTAGGCAAAGCCAACCATCCTACTGGCAATGCTTCCTAAAGCATAGACAAGCCAAAGCTGTGAGTTTTACACAGCTCTAGGTCTGACTTCTCCAATTCTAGGAGAACTTCATGGTTTCCTGCTACCTTCCTTTCTCTGAAAGTCAGTTATTATTTCTTAGTGTTTTATTTACTTCATGAGTACTACAGGGACATGGTATTGAAAGCTCAGTCACAGTGTGCATACATAGACTTCGAACTATCTCATTTCAACAGCATGCCCTGTGCTGCTGTCACACTGCCCATAAAAGTCAATAGGAAGAATGTTGCAATACTGACTTGTGAAGATTTACAGCAACATTCATATGTGCTAATCTTTTACAAATGCTAATCAGAAGCTACTTGAAATCATTGAATTGTTGTGCTAATGTTACAGTAAAACTAAAAAGAACCCAGGAATTAATCACTGTATTTCTTCCCAAACTTGGTAGACTTGTTGGCTGGAGCTGTTGACTATACAGACTTGCATTGGCTGATGGTCTGTTTTCACGTTAGACTCATGTTGGCCAATTCCCCTCCTTGGTGAACTTTTACTTTAGTCATCTTAGGAAGCAGCACTACTGGGAAGCAAGAGAAATACTTCTGCAAGAGATGACGATTCGTGTCAGCACAACACTACTGAGAATTCAGAGTACAGCTGCACGAATAACCTCATATTGTTTTCTTGGGGTCCCTTTTGGATCAATCCTCAAAGCTGGCCATCAGCTAATACATTCCCAAGTTACCCTGATTCAAGTGAAAGCTCCTGAGAGTCAGTTCCTTGCTGCTTTGCCTCTCTCACTTTCTGTGCCTGAGACTCTCCACTTCACCCTGGAACAGATATTTGAATCACAGTTTCACAGATGCCAGGGAGTGCCTTAGCCAGCACAAACAAGTTGGCAGCATTTCTTTTTCTAGGTCAGTGACTCCTTGGCAATTCAGATCAGGTTAAAACACCCTTAATGGGAAAAGAGTCTGTCTGTCAGTCCAGGACCCATAGGAGAAGAATCAACTGATTATTCTGAAGTCCTATTCCACATCATCAGACATGAGACTCCATAAGATAAGACCCTGGGAAAACAAATGAGGACCGAAGCCCCTTCCCATTCATTTTAATCTCATTTCTCAGCCCTTTCTTTTGATACCATTGTCTAAAAATCTAAATCTCTGCACAAATTCTTGAGGAAACCCATCTTTAGCAAGGACAGGTAACAAGGTGCATGCTATGCTGCTGACCTCAAGAATGTTTTGGTAGAAGTTGCTGATAGGCCTTCTCATGTTCTCTCTGTGCTGCTCATTGCAAAAGGAGGGATTTTCTCTTTGGTATTAGTAAAAAACCTCTGTGATTTGCAAGTTAAACAAGTAAAAAATAACATTTAAAAAAACTTGACACGTTCTGCCAGATACAAATGTGCAACTATATTGGGATTTTGCAGTATTTTGATCAGAAAGAAGTTATAACCTTACACCTTTAACTCTGAGAGTGAAACTGATTTACTGCTATTGTATGTTCAGAATGTCACCTAAGAAAGACACTGTGACTCACGTGGCTACCGGGCCATGCCAGACCCTGTAGTCTGGTCTTAGTTTCTCTCTGAACATCTGTTAGGGAAAATCAGTGACTTATATTCATTTCTAAAGTGTATTAATAATAGTAATACTATACTGTAGTGAAGGTTATTTTGTATAACTTTTAAATGTTTAATGAATATTCAATATATTGTCTTAATAAAACCATTTTCACAGTAACAATTAGCAGGTTTTTAGTGTCTGCTGTGGTAGCTGCAACAGAGGGTAAGGGCTGACTTGTCACATTTTTGAATGTAGAAGATAGCATGTAGAGCTGCCACCTTGGTTGGGGTTAGTCTAAGGGTGTTGACTGAATAGTTGAGAGCTCAGCTGTGCCAAGTAGATGAGCAGTGTGACAGTCTCCATGCTAATGTGTCTGCAGGAATTTGCACAGGGGAAGCAGGGCACTCATGAGAGTAGCAGAATAAATCAAAGTGTGAAAGCAATTGCAGTCAAATGTCGCACCCAAGCAGTCAGTGACTTGACATGCTGTTTGGAAATAGGTTGGGTTACCTGTCAGTGTGGCATTTTCTTTTGGTTGCTAGAGAATAATGTTATCTGAGGATAAAAAGTAAGGAGCACAGATGGCTGCTACACATGCTTGATCCTCTAAACTCTTATCGCAGCTAATTATTCCATTGACGTAAATGGAACCGCTCCTTTGAATAAGGTCTGTTTTCTCTAATTCTTTTAGGATTGAAGTACAGTTTTTTGCATTCTGTGTGTAAATGTCTGCGCACTTTAAAAAATATATAATATTATTTGGGGGAAAAACTGTGTTTTGTGCCTGGCAGTCACTGTGACCAAAGTCATTGGTTAAGACTGTAGGTACAAATATTTCTTGGAAACGTTACCTCTGCACTTTCTAAACCAAGAAACATATTCTGATTTTGCGTATTTTCTTTGTCTAGTAAGCACAAGCTTGGAGTCCTCTGCCTGACCAGCATTTAATTCTTCCCTTTATTTTGTATCCAGTAATTGAAGACTTGCAGAGCAAGAGCAGAGTTTACCTTGTAAACAAGAGTAATACAAAGAAAACTCATTAAAATTTAGAATCAAACATTACTTCTTCTTACCTATTCCAAATTAGTTTATGTATTATAGTGAAGGTCACTTATTCTCTTTTGAAATATTGATTGACTGAGTATGAATCATTTTTATGGATGCTATTTTTGTTGTCAGGCAAGCCTTTGTGCTCTGAGGATAGAACAGAGGAGCATGCAATTTGAGGGGTTTTCCTTACCTTCACTAAAAAAAACAGCCCAGCTGACATCAGGAACATGGCAATTAAAAGAGTAAGCTGCCTTTGGAAATCTTGTAGCCAGGACTTGACTTGAATGGGTAAATTTATAATGCCACTGCCTTGTCACTTTGTAATTTTGGCATGGCAGCTTCTTCCCCCTCACTGCAAGAAAGATATTGAGGCCCTGGAACGTGTTCAAAGGAGGGCAACAAAGCTGGTGAGGGGTCTGGAACACAGGCCATATGAGGAGAGGCTGAAGGAGCTGGGGTTGTTCAGCCTGGAGAAGAGGAGGCTCAGGGGAGACCTCATTGCTCTCTATAACTTCCTGAAGGGAGGCTGTAGTGAGCTGGGGGTCGGCCTCTTCTCTCGTGTCATCAGTGATAGGACCAGGGGGAATGGCTTCAAGCTACGGCAGGGGAGATTCAGGCTGGACATTAGGAAGTATTACTTTTCAGAAAGGGTGGTCAGGCACTGGAACGGACTGCCCAGGGAGGTGGTGGAGTCACCGACCCCGGGGGTGTTCAAGGAAAGACTGGATGTTGTGTTGAGGGACATGGTTTAGTAGGAGCTATTGGGAATAGGTGAACGGTTGGACTGGGTGATCTTTTAGGTCTTTTCCAACCTTGGTGATTCTATGATTCTATGATTCTATGATTCTTGCCCAATTCCTCTCTCACACCAGCTCTCCCTCCTGGAGGTGATGTCATTACCTGCATATCTCTAGATGCAGAGATAATTTATGTTAACCATGCTCTTTACCACATTTCTACAAGAACCATTCCTCTTCCTGGCTTAATGCCGTCACTTTTGAAAACCACCATATCCTCAGTGATGCAGGACAATACCCCTTGTCTACTTTTTCTACCAAAAACTTAACATGTCCCTTAGTCCCCACAATTTCCCACTACTCTCTATTTGACTTTCTTTTCCTCCTCCTCTTCCTGGTTCTGTTGGCTCCATGTTTCCATCTCTCCCTGTGGTTTTCCTCCTCTTTCATCATCCTGTCCGTGCCGTCAGCAATCCTTAGCATAGGCATACTAGGAATGCTGGGAAAACAATGCTGTAAAATGAACTCTCGCTATCTACACTGGTTTCCAACTCATTCTTTTAACAGGCATATGGTGTTAATCTAAACTGTCCGACACATTAGTGGGAGGGAAGTCACACCCAGAGGATTATTAAAACATTTTATCTGGCAGATGCCACCATATTTATTGATATGAAAACTCCCTTCCTCCATATAAGCCACTGAAGCCTCCCTCCGAGAAGTTATTTTGAATTTGTTATAGCTATATTAAAATATTTTGTTAAACTTCACTAATTTCTTCTGGTGCTAAAGTCTGCATTCCTCTTTCAGGAAAAGTTATCACTAAGGTCAATAGGATTTTAAAATAATGAACGACTTGTTTATTGTGTTTGGCTAGTTGAACACATTATAAAACTTTATATATAATTGCTGAAGGCTACGTATATAAATGTATACTCATATCTCTATGTGTACATATGTATATTTGAATTTGAACTCCAAAATCTCTATTTTATATAAAATATTCCTAAAGAGAACACTTAAATTCAATTAATACTGACACATCAAAGTACTACAAAGCAGGGCCAAAGTAAAGTATTTCTTGAATTAATGTTCAGATATTCCGGCAGTGTGTAAGAATGTAAGCCAAAACTGGAAAGCATTTATACAAAATTACAGGAGATATCTGAAGAAAAAGTATCAAAGTTTCCTTATTTGTCTTTCAAAAATACTCTCTTGAATTGCGTGTCCTACAGTTTTAATCAAACAACCAGAGCCAATACAAATACAAAGAAAGAGGGTCAAAAGCAATTTAAAAGACACCCTTTTGGAAGAGTAGAAGCTTTCTGTTTGGTTTTAGTTTCACAGAGGAAACTGCATTCAATTCAGTCAAGCACTGCGTTTTCAAAAATTTTGTGGTTCTGGCTTAATTCCACAAAAGAGAAAAACTTCAAAGTTAAGGATTGGGCCTCCAATATTTGGTCACAACGTGACACAGTTGCGTAAAATTAAGGATGGTAACCCATGGTGACAGAAGTGGGGAGGGGGTGATCTCTGACTCTGGGTCTTCTTCCTTTTGCTGACTGAATCATAACAAATTCAGAACATAGATGAATTGGTTTTGCAGCTGTCTTTGCTTTTTCTTTTGCAAGCAGGTAAGAAAAAGCCTTCTAGGAAACCTGCGCACATCTGTTGGTAACTAAACTTTTACTGATGATTTTATGCTTCTCAGACAGGTACTAGACTTAACTGCTCTTTCCTGGTGACCTGTTCGGTGTCCTTTGTTTCTGCGGGTTCTTATGAGCAGCCTTTTTTTTCAGCTGGGTGGCACAGGACCATGGCCATCATATCCAGTGACATGCAGTACAGAGGTATGTTGTCCTTCCTGTAACGACCTCAGAAAATGAGAAACAGTGAGGAAACATCTTTCTTTAATATCTCTATTGATAGAGCTTGGGAAAGTGGGCAAGTTTTAGGCTCAGAGCCAGCAAGATTTACTGCAATTTTGTGTAGCAAGTCAATAGATACACAGAAAAGAACTTTTGGGAAGAAGAAAAATCACACATGTTGCTACATCTTATAGGTTAAAGATTTTCCATTGCCATTTGTTCTTTAAAGGAAAACTGGATTTTGTGAGAAACTTTTTTTCTGGGAAAAAATAATCTGCTTTCTGTAGAAAATCAGGGCTATTCATCAGAAAGCCAAACACCTGCAAACCAAATATTTCTGGCTGAAAGTACCAGTGTGGAGTGCTGCTGCTGCTGCACCTCTTGGGAGGATGGCAGTTTGGTGCTTCGTTTCCATGCTCTTTGTTACCAGACTCACAAGTGCCACATCTTTGTTGCTTTACAGGACTGTGTTTAATTAGGGACAGGAGTTTATGTGGCCAAATGGCTGAAGCACGCGGCAGCAATGCTGCTGTGAAGCAGAATCTGGATGTGAGCTGATCTCTCCCTTTTCTCCACATGCAAGACTTAGGGCCCAAGCACAGGCAGGCTGGGGCAGAGTGGATGCTCAGGCAGCCGAGGCTCCAAGATCAGGTGAAGTAGGATTCTCCTTCAATGCAGCACCACAGAAAGCAGAGATGTCCTGAAGCATCTACCATGTGCACAGCTAGATAAGTATTTCTGAGTAGGAGTTATCAGACAGAATCTCTGTTATTTTGCCATTATAAAAAGAATTCACTTGAGCTTTTCCAATTGAAAATAAATTAACCAGCTCCAATAGCATTTGGAAAGCAATGGGCCTGATTGGTCTGTTTAAACTCCAGGAGGTATACTGACACACTGGGTTACCTAGAGCTGGAGTTTCATAATGCATGAAACTAGTCAATTGCTCTAACAATTACATATTTTTTTGAGAACTGTATTTTGGTTTTGGTCAAATCTAGATTTAAAAAAAAAAAAAAAAAAAAAGTAAATTGTTGGCAAAACAAAAAAATAATTATAATCAGGAAAAGCATCTTTTTTGTTCAATCCAAAATATTTAGTTCAGCTTCAAAGAAAAGCTTCATTTTTTTGTCTTGGACCATTACACACATTTTAAATCTTTTTTCTTTTTAAATCTAGGCCAAATTTAAAATGGACAGCTAGAAGTCTTTGTTTTGAAATTGAAGTGTTTTGGCAGTTCTAGAATGAAATGCTCCATTTTGAAAATACTAAAATGAAGTGTTTTGACATTTCATTTTTCTTTCTCTGCATTGTTTCATCTGGATCTACTTGTTAAATTCCATTCAAATTCAGGAAGAGACCCAGTGCCTCTGAAATGCCTCTGTGTGGTATATTTATTATTTGTCAGAAAGCAGTGAGTCATTAAGCTCTGCATCAGTTCAACGTTAAATAACAGGAGAGGATGCTTAATAGGGAATTGATTATATACAGCTATGTTTCTCCCTCATAATTACTGTTGTTAGAGTGAGAACCCAGCAGTGTGGAGCCACTTCAGGAAGGACACAGCTTTCATCCATCTGGCAGAAGAGGTGGCGGACAGTTCCCAGATCCTTCAGCTGGTGCTGTTTTCTCCCCTCCTTCAAGTAGGTCAGTCTTCTTCCTCTCTTAGTGTTAATGTAAACCGTATGTCTTGTGCCAGTGTTTCTGTGGCTGTTAGCTAGAATGAATAGACAAAAAGAATGAAAAACTTAGTTTTCTTAATTTTCTGGTTGCTGTATTCAAAGAGCTGAGATGACCTCATAAGAATAGCTGTAAATTATGATGAAGTTGTAGTCTGAGAAGTGTAGATTGATAATGATTGAGGAGCAGTCCTGCAAACCTCCTTGGTGCTGCTTATGTTGAGTAACCAGAAAATGAGCCCTGGGGGAAGAGGTGGGGGGAGGACAAAAATGTTCTAAGTAATGCTAGTGACACCCAGGAAGTACTGAAGTTTCTAAGACACAAGGCAGGATCTCCATGTACTTCTTCCTCCTGTCTGGAAAGATATGGTCTCATTTTAGGAGGCAGGCAGTGGAAATTCATGTGTATTCAGACAAGGAGGAAACTTTAGTACTCATTCTGTTGAAATACTTGAGAAAGCTTTCAAGGAAGAATTTTTGATAAATGTTAGTATATGAAGTTGTTGCACTTCTGATTTACTGCATTTCTTCTGTCTTTTCTCATTAATGAAGATTGAAGTTGGGTATACTCCAACTCGTTTAAATATTTCTAAAAGCTATCACCTGCATTGGAAGTAAGCAGCTGGCATACCAAGTTTTCTCTTTTTGGGCTGCTCAGCTTCACCAGGGCTATTCACAGCTTGCACTTTACTAAGGTCGTTGGTATCACTGTTACACTTTTTCTGTATTACATGAGGATCAAGTTCCAGTAGTTAACAAGTCAAAAAATATTCCTGGGGGTGGGAGAGGAACTAGGTAGATGAGTGCATTCCACATGTCCACTTTATTTCTGGAATTACTGCTCTCATCCATGTGAGAAATAATTGTGATAAAAAATAGGCCTGACCTGCAGTACCCCCAAACCCAAAGAAATGCTTTTGCAGGCTGCACTCTGAATGTTCCACTCCACTTTGGCCAAGGCACGATGGGATCTCAACTGCTGGCTGCCACTCAGTGTCTGGACACTGAATAGTCTCTGGGCCAAAAGTTGCACTACTGTAATTAGAAATAGTTACACAAAATCAGTTTCTCAATATCTATTCTCTTGAAATTCAAAGCCAGATTTGGCCCACCACATGGACCGAGTTCAATTGAAAGGAAAGAGCTGTATTCTGCTCTGAGTAATGGTGAAGTAGAGGAGAGTTAACTCCTTTGGTTTTAACTGGCTTCAGACCTCGGGTCTCATACTGACATAACTGTGCTGACCTCAGTGGAATTGATCCTAATTTATGCCACTGTAACTGAGAATGCAATGTACATTGTTTAAATTCTGTTGAGCATGTCTTCTTCCAGGATGGAAACTATTTGCAAACTATACAAGCTCTTTCCTAAGATTGAGGCTTTTCATATCTGAGATTTTTGGTGGGGCAAGTGTGTGGGGATAAGGACATAAAGCACACTTTGTGTTTAGTGCTACCTTGTATACTTTGAATCCCACAGTGTCCTGCAAAATTATCACTAGAGGACTCCTGTCCTTTCATCATAATATAAAGAATATTCTATCCCTGCAATCACCCTGAAGGAGGCAGGGGAACACCTTTAGGAACTTAAAATGCCAACATGTAGTGGATACACTCAGGTTTTTTAGATATATGGGGTTGTACTATTTGATTTTTATTTTTTTTTTTGCAGCGTCCGCTTTTCCCATTGTTACACATTACATTTCTGAAGCATGTGTTAAATGGGATGCTGTGCAGCTGAAAGATCACACGTCTCAAATGCTCACTTGGCTCTCCCATACTGACCGCCTGAGTTGCAGCTCTCTGACTAGGGGAACGGTTGCTTTACTCTCGGAACATTGTAAGTTTTAAATACAACATAAAGGAGCCTCCATCTTGCAAGAATAATACACAAACACATATATATACACATGAGTGTGTATATGTATATGCATATATATACAACCTGAAAAGCAACTCTGTCTTCCTTTTCTTCCTTTTTTCAAGCTGACTTCTTCCCCTGTTAGCAATGAAATTTGGCCAGGAATCCAGCACGCCACAAGAAATCAAGTTGTGACCACGTTAAGCGTGACTGGCAGGGCAAGGTTATAGCATGTATGGTATACATACACTATGCTATAGTGACCTGTTACAGAATTAGAGGCTGGGAGGTGTGAGGCTGGGTCAGATAATCTTATTGCAAATGAGGCAGAAATCAAAGCTCAAAGTGGCTTTGGTTGTTTACTCTTTCAAGAGGCATTTATTGAGAACTTCTTATTTTGAAAGCATATTTTGAAAACTTCAGCTGCAGGGTTTGTAAGTTACTTTCCAGAATCAAGCTGTGTACCTGTGGCATACTCCTACTTATCTTACCCTGTTTTGGAAAGATTTATTAAAACCTCTGGTACAAAATGACTGCTGAAATCAGGCTGTCAAAGGAGGAGATGTTCAGCTGCGATAAACTAGAGCACTGCATCACACAGCCAGTAACACTGTAGGGATGGTGGATCTTTCCTGGGAGGAGGCTTCTCAGCACGAAGTTAGGCATTCTGTTAAGAGAAAAAAGAAAGATGCAGGTGAATTCTTTACATAATCAATGAACTTTCTTCATCTCTGTGCCTGAAACACTGATATATATATATGTATATATTTATTTATTTTGAGATCTTCCTATTCACTTGTCTTTCATAATTTTAAATTTCACTTACTTCTTAGACTTAGCTGCCCAAGAGAAACTGCCAATTTAATGTGGCTCTGGTGGGGATTTAACTTGGTGTTTCAAGGTAAGGTAAGCAAGAGCCTGGTATTAAAATAGACACGAGACATAGCACATAAATCAGCTTCCAGAATCACGCTGAAGCACTGTACAAACTTTCATGTCTGAAGTGACATATTAGAAGGGCGCACTGCTCCTCACTTCAGTGTAAACTGGAAAGGAAAGAAACTTTTCAAAATTAACCAGAGCTGGGACTGTAAAAGGTCTTGGATGTCCCATCCCCTTACCAGGTTTAAACATATTCCAAAGAAGCTCATTCACTTACACAGCTTTGCCATGGTCCACATCTTTGCATGATCACTTGTGATTTATGTCACTGTAAGGAGAGACAATCTAACTCTTTCAGCCCACATGCAGCTGGGAAAAAAAATATATATACACACACACACACACAAAAAAAAGTACATATATATAATATACATATATACAAAATTATTTATGTAAAAATTTTTGGAAGATATTACTGAAGCCAATGAAAAGATAACTTTCTTACACTTCTAAGTTTTTGTTCACACATATTGGGTAAGGTCTAAGGACAATTAGGATTTAAGTGCTTAAAAGGTCATTGCTGCAGCCTTGCTTCATTAACACAATACAGAGCCATACACTGGGCGTATGAACCAGATCATTATTAGCAGAACACTGAGCAGGGAAGTGCTTTGATTTAGCATACTCATTAGGGAGCTGTGTATGGCCCCCGCGGGACAGAGGTAGCAGAAGCACTCCTGGATGCAGAGCACCTTGGGATTACTGAATGCCAATCCTTGCAAGCACTTCTAGATGAGCAGGAGTTTGGAGCACTTTCTGTATCCTAAAAAGCTTAAGATGCTGTGAGTATAAGTGGTCATTCAAGGCATTTGGGGCAGTCCTGACATATCTAACTCATTTCTGATTTTTGCCAGCCCAGCCTATAGTTAAACCTCAGTAAAGGAGCACCATAGCTTCTCAAAAAACAAGATAAGCCTATGATGGCTCTTAGCATTAGAAAACTTTTCCTAATGTCCAGTATGAATTTTTCTTGCTGTCAATTATTTTACTATCAATTACTTCTCTCATTATCCTCCAAGCACATGGAGATGGAATTTAGGAATTCATTTATTTGTGTGCAGACTCTTAACTCTGTCATCTCTACTTTAATTATCTTCACTTATTCAATCTTGCCTTTTCACTTGTACTTACTTTCTGTATGTTTGGTCCTTCTCAGAGCTCTTACCTAATAGCACACTCACTTGCAGGACATGCTCAACATTGGACCTGAGGCCCACCAGTGCCCTGTAACTTCCCTTAAGGCAGCCATGTAGTTTTTTCAGTCTCCCTAGTAGGACCACTTTCAGCAGAGGCGCCAATGTCTATTTTCACCATTTAATTAAAAGTGAAAGGAGATGTACTGATGATAAGAAAAGCCAGGCATTTAGCTGGCATAAATTGGTTCCACATCTTGAGTCTATCAACAGCAGCTCACATGAACTAAGCGTGGTAAACCTACCAGGTTTACAAATGCCCTGGCATTAAAACATCCAAGCATCCTGATCTGTTTCACTCCAAGTGCTGATTTTGCCAACTGCAGGTTGGAACTATACCATCTCTCTTGGATTTGTGTCTGTAAATCTAAACCTACCTTGCTGTTTTGATGGATATAAAACTTTGGTTTATGAATGCTTGTTTAATTTATACCAATTGTCTGACCAGAAGCAATCGCTGCAAGAAGTAGAGCTAAAATCATATTAAATCCTCATTCTGCTCTATTTTTTTAATTGTTTAAAATCTTTGCTTAAAAGGTTCTAGTTAATTATTTCAGTGTTATCAAAATGCTCTGACAGTGTACTATATTCAGTGTCATCAGCTCTGATTAACTTTAAAAACACGTTTCTTTGATTTGAGACTTCACAAAGCATTCATAAAGGTATCCCCACAAACAACGTAATTCAGGTAAACACATAGCACAACTGATTTCACAGATATACCAATTAAAAATTAACAAATGAAACCTAAGAAAATAATGTAAATTAACAATACTTTCAAAACCAAAAATGTTTAACAATAAAATTTGGATAGTATCTTTTCCGTTCTTATCATTTTTTTTGGTTGGTTGTTCTGCTCCCATATTTTCAGATTTGCTGATCTTCAGGATTAGGCTTGCCTGTGGGGGAAGAGAATAAATTTCTTTTGTAGATGAAAATATTTCGTTGATAAATCATATTATTCCATTTAAATTGTTCTTATCTTATCCAGCTTGGTCTCCAGAGTTGTTGCTGCATGTTTTCAGATATGCTTTGGTCTTAAGATCAATTCACACTCTGTACAGCAGAAATAGCATATTTCTTTCAATTCACAGAATCGAAAGATTTGAAAAGATTTTGAGACTGACCAACAGTATCATCTATGGCAGTCCTATATGCCAGTCTACTTTTATTGCTGTCACAGCCAAAGCCTTTCAGACTAGAAAGGATTATGGAATAATTTATTCATATTATCCTATGTTTTACTAATAACAGGAAATACGCATTTGTGTTTCTGTTGTTTAGGTGTATTGGTAAATTCCCTGCCATATTGCCGTATGGAGAAAAGACAACCTGGATGGATAATTATTCACAATGAATTTGATCCTTATCTGCAAGCTGACAAGGTAGGTCATTCCACTTCATCGAAACAAACTAATAGCTGATCACATAGAGACCACATGATCTCTCCTACTGCTAAAGCCAAAGTACTTCTATAGAATCACTCTTCTGAACACCATTACTATACTTGCTATTTGCACTTGTGTTGGTAATAATAAATAGAAATGCTGCAGCTGCCCTTCAGCATTGGCATTTCGTAGCAGCTTCTGAAGTTCACACCTTGATGTGGTGAATGCTCTGAGGAAAGACTAACAAAATAGATTGTTCTTGTTTTGTTAGGTTGGTTGGTTTGGGAGTGGTTTTGTTGTTGCAGTTTTTTGTGGTTGCTTAGAATGGACTTTTGAATGGAAATACAATAGCTTACAGAATTGGGTTACCAGATCAGCAGCTCATAGCTTGCATTACGCAAATATGAGACTGAGAAATTATTTTGTAATGAAAGCATAAACTATACAGAATATAGTGGAATGCACACAACATAAAGAGACACTCTCCAGTTTCCAAGAGATTGCATTTTTTAACTGCTTACAGTGTTTCTTCTAATTTCAGCGCTGTAGTTTCAATTGGCCAATTGTTTCCTTCTGCTCACACAAAGCACCCAGCAATACTCTGAGACAAAAACTGCACTTGTCAGGTGAAGGACAGAAAGTGTAAACTGCTGAGTAATAGAGGCTAGAAGCTCTGTTAGGGCCTAAGCTCAAAAAGTCCTGCCAAAAGTAGGATAGGTATTTGGTGAGTTAATGTCTAGTAAGATTCAAGTTAGACTTCAGCCTCTGGGAAGTGAAGATGAATGCCAATGCATTAATTAAAATTAAATAAATAAAATAAAATAAAATATCCCACAAAACATAGTAATACTTAAAGCTAAAACTAAAAATTAGGTGTAGATTTAACTCTTTGTTGAGAGGCACCAGAAGAACTCTCAGCTCCTTCCAATTCTGCTTTCTGATCGAAATCAAGAACCGAGGATGCATTTTTCTTAATTAAATGCAGCATGCAGATCTGTGTGTTGGTACTAATTTGTCATATTACCTGAACTATGCTCTGCAAAACCACTTCTGTGGCCAACTCTTTTATGGGTTATTTCTAGAGTACTCACTTTTGTAATGAGCAGTCATTGAATTTAACAGTGGGACCAGCCTCTCCCAAGACATCCTCTATAATTTGTTCCTTAATTACTGATTTCTAGCAAAGACTTCTGTTATTTGACATGGACATTTTTATCAGTCTATAAATGAATTACAGTATTCATCCAATCATAAAATGACATTATGAAAGCAGCTTTTTTGCTGATGTGGTGACTATAGAGTTGCTTGACATTATTCTGGTAACAAAATTTGACTGGATATGTTTTGACATCTAGGAAACAAGGACACTGATGGAAACCGATGGATCCTATGTCGAAAGAAAAACAAGAAACCCATAAAACAAAAAACAGCAATAACAACAACAAAACCCCCCACAACTGGCTGCAGGATGACAGCCAGCAAATTAATAGGTGAATTGTAAAGAACTCCATTCCCAAGGGGCAAAGTCAATAAAGAAAGGACTGGAAAAAAATAGGGAAAAGTGAAGACAAGTCAATGCTTATATTTCTTGTAAAATTAACAGAAAGAAATAACAATGGGAATTTTGGAATTGAAAAGACAAAGGCTGATGAACAGTTAGTTTTATCTAGGATAGTTGACATTCAATAGTCACGTTTCTATTTGTGCTATCCCCTTCAAATATAACTGTGCTCATAAAGCTGACTGTCTCATTATTAAGTGTCCTTTGTTCATGCTTTTAGTCTCTTTCTTAAATTTTGACATAAACATGTTCCAGAATAGTGTGAACAAAATGCCATCCCCAGGAGGACTAGCATTTGTAGACAGGTTGTGCTGTGGACATTTCATTTCAGAAGCCAAGACCTTTTCTTACTCCCCTCAAGAAACTTGTAAACACTTCTGCTTTCACATTTATAAAATGTACTTATACATAATCTCCCAGATCTTGGAGACAAAAAACATGTTTTGGGAATCAATTATGTACACATTTTCACATATTTTTTTCCATTTTGAACTGAGCACTTCTACGTATCAGAGATTGGTCGTTTTTCTCTGTCATTGAGTGATGATATGTCATAGGTAAAGGATTTTTGACAGTGCTTAAAGCAGAACTGCGATAAATAATGCAGCGCCAAGACTTCGGTATTAGCACAGTCAACAAACTCCTCAAAGTAAATGATAACATTTACATATTTTACCACCTGCTGACACCATGTTTCCATTTGTACTGACTCCAGTAGCAGACTATTTCTAAAGCCATAGAAAGACTTGATTATTTTGCTGTTTTTGAGCAGTCTGTGAAGTCCTTGAGCAGCAGATTTTGGAAGCTAGAAGACTGGCATGGCTAGTACATTCTTAGTATTCTTTTGTATCCTGTAGTCAACTACTGTTGACCACTGCTGGATGTAAAACACATATTGGGAAGTTACACCTTTGGCCTTCTCCAGAATGGCTGCTCTTGCTGATGTATTCTCGGGAGAAAAAACAACAACAACAACAAAAAAAAACCCACTACCAAACAACTTACAAACAAAACCCAGACAACACTCACACAAATTAATAAATAACAAGAAATGATCTTGTTAGCAAGATTCTGAAAGCAAAATGCTGAAAATCAAGCAAAAGAAAAATAGAAGTTTCTGTCAAAGTGACTTGGCTACATTTTCCTTAGTTCTTGGCTAGAACATTTCCATTGATAGAGTTGCTAAGTGCATTCTATTTACAAATATAAACACTTGATTTTGATCAGCAAAAATGCATCAGCACACTTGAACAGTGTCAATGATGACATAATTACACTCATAATTTCCTCTCTGTAATGATTTTTAAATGTCAGCAGTCATTTTTTGTCTAATTGTAGCTTGCATGTCAGCACTTCCTCTTAAAACAGCATGTTTCTCTCTGCTGGAATTTCACACCTCTCCACTTCACCAGTGAAGATAATGCATATGATATAGAAGTTCAGGATATTTTCACTTCTGTGCTGTTTTACTATTTAACATCAAGCAGGCAGAACGAAGGTGTTTTTTCTTTTCTTTTTTCTTTTTTTTCTTTTCCAAGTGCAGAGTTTAATCATCTAAGCTGTAAATAAGTATTTGATTTTAATGAACAAATCAAGTATTCATTTATTTTGCCTCCCTGCTGTTGCTGTGCTAATAACCTGTTTATAAGTGTGGACGCGTGATAAAAATATTCTCACTCATCTCTGTTGCATACTTACTTACTAGAGGAGAAGGCTTATCCTGCAATGCCAGACAGCTTCCTGCTCAGTGTTTAACAAACTGTGAAAGCAGGTGACCCTTTCTCTGCAAAGACCGCCTGCTTAACAATGTCACTGCTACTGTCTTATGCTATGGCCTAGAAAGTGACTTATGAAATGCAATTTTGCATGGTGCCAGGCCTCAGGATACCACAGCATAACAAATAGGTGCATCTGGAGTTCATCTCAGCCCTCTTCCTCTTTTCATAGATCACAGACCATGTCATCAAGTCTATGGAAGTGTAGCACTTGTGCAGTGAACTGGAAGCTCTGCATTGAGGTTAGCAGCAAACATTTTCCACTCATCTGAACATACGCTGGAATTTGAAATGGGGGCCAAAGAGGCCTCCTTCAGTCCCATTTGCTCACACCTCATTCATGTCTCTGACAATGCTAAACTCTAGAGTTTTGGAAGTAAAGCTTATATTTACTGGCCCATACATTATCAAAATAAGTAAAAAGCCATAAGGAACACATACTGAGAAAACAAGTCATAAAATCATTCTGAGGTATCTGATAAAAAAAAGAGTACTGTTAGTGCTTCTAATCAAACTCATGCATCGACCCCATTTATATGTTCTAGTGGGTCTCTAAAAGATGAATATATAAATAATGTGCAGTTGATGTGTGTGCGTGCTTTTCTGTCTAAGGCTCATGATAACTTCAATTATTTTCATAATGTTTCTGTAACATTAACACCACAGTTGTGATACATACACAATACTGTGTACATGCCTATAGGCATATGGTGATCATGCATATGTTCACACAAATGAATGCTGTTGACCTACTTGTCTAATTCTTTGTTATTTATGCCATGTTTTGTATTTTACACTTCCATTTTTTTTCCCTTTTTGATTAACTTGGCGCTTCAGAAATTTTCTGGAGCAGTTGGAAAGGACAAGATTTTTTTTTTAACAGGCATACCTTACCTGTCTACGTGTCCAGGAGTAGAGACCACTTGAAAATAGATACTTCTGGGTCACCCTGCTTGGACTGTCCCCAAGGACAATTTCATTAAGGAAGCAAAGCAAATTAAAGAAACTAGCAACCAAGCAGTCAAGAGGCAAAGAAACCAAATTCTTTGAGCACTTACTTCCAGGGAGAATATTAGTCCTGAAGATCTGATGCAGGGTATGCAGTGCGTGACACTAACTTGTTTGTATTTATCTATGTGACAACAGGAAGGAATCAAAAACCAGCAACACTAAAA